TACACTTGCACAAGTACCCAAGGCAGAAGAATATTTTCTCTAAAGTAATTAAAGTGATTGGTTTTTTAGCTTAACTCATTTTAAACTTTTAAAGCATTTATGCCAAGAAACAAATTAAACTAATATAACTTTCTTGCTATTTTTGTATTAATATTAAAACGAATCATAAAGAGGTAGCATGTAACTTTCCTTTTTCTCTTGCTGGGCTTAGACACATTTATTCAGAAAGAGATCTCATTAAGACCAGTGGTTTCCTCTTCTAATTACTTGGAACCAGCAAGTGCAATACTTTTTAATAAATTATAATTTGTAAACCGAAAATTATAGTACTGAAAGCAGGTATATTTCCTCCTTGTGGAATTTTCCAATCTCTCATATGCAACGTTCTGTACTATGTTTTGATTAATATGCAGTTATTTTCTTCAGCTATGCATCCCTTTGCATGGGGATTTTTGAGATTTCCATTTAGCATAATTTCTATCATTCATTAAATGCTAACATATCAAATCATTATAGAATGGAGATACTGAATAATTAGGAAGGCATCTATAGCTGCTAGCTAAAGTTCATTCTTGTTAATAATAATACCAGATGTTTTGACTGGATTTTGCATTTTTGTTCACCAAAGAGTCTTTCCTAAGGACCTGAGATTTAGACAGATGTTATTGTTATTGCTGCTGCTGCTGCTGTTAGTCTTGGGAGTAAAGCTTTCTGGGCCACAAGGCAAATGTAAACCTAAGAGCCATGTCTCAGCTATAGCCACTGAGAAGGAGAGTCCCATAGCTATTTCTTCTAGGCTGTCACCACTGTAGTGTCTGATAAGTATCTCTCCTCTAACTGAGGGGAGGTTGGTAGTGGAAACGATGCTGATTCAGAGACAGCTAACTCAGCACAGCAGAATAAAACTGAAGAAGAAGCAGTGGTCCCTCCCTCCCTTCTTTTATATGATTTCTCCACTACAACTCATCTTGGGGTCCCTTATGGCCAGGTTTGCAGGTCCCAAGTGACTACCTCTGTCTTCACTATTAGTACATCCCTGATTAGATTGGTAATCTATTTCATTTCTGGGAATTTAAGATTGTATACAAAGCACTCCCTCTTCATTGTTTTTCCCTGCAACTAAAACATTGTCAAATACGGTAGTTAGACTAAGAAATAATGACTAGCCAGAGTCACCCAGTGAGCTTACATAGCTAAAGGAAGTCATGAAGTTAAGTGTTTTTTATCCTAATCAATTATTTTACCTGTATATAGCAATAGCAGACTTATATACTGCTTCATGGTGCTTTACAGTCCTCACTGGCTTTGCAAAAGTTTTGTATAATGCTTATATCAAATGCTCAGATACAAGCTTTTTAAAAAATAATTATTAATTTTACATGTGTTAGTAACTTAACTTCATTTTATCTGAGATACCTACATGAGTTAAATAAGGCAGTGGATGTCTTCCATTAGATTGACCAAGTAGAGTCGGGTGGCTTTTTAGAATTTTTAATTGACTATTGTTATTATTATGGCTATATGATAGCTAGGTCTTTTTCTGTGTTTCTGTGACTAAATTAACATAATGAAAATTACCCACTGTCAAATTTACTGTATGTATAGAAATACTACAAAAATCTGAAATACTTGCTATTTCATGTTATGACCTATCTTTAACAATTTATGCTATTGTTAGTTCTTCTAAAGCTTATGAAGAGAGTTCTATAATTAATTAGATAATGAAGATCCAGCATATTATTCTTCTCATAATAATATTTATCAGATTTATATGGCTACCCACCTCAGATGATGTGTCTCTAGATTATATATAAACAAACCAAAATAACCTGATGCATGGACTGTTGTAACCAAATACTCTGGAAGGTTTTCCTAATGTATTAAAATAGTTACAAATGATGATTTTCTACCCTGATGGAGAAACTGCTTTGAATGCTTTTCTTGGGTATTTATGTGTGTAATGTGCATGCATGTGAGTGCAGGGAAAGGTATATGAAGCAGCTCTGATTCCTTTTACAGAATGAGGATAATTGCTTTAAGACTTCAAAATGGGGAATCACTTGGGCCAACATGTTCTGCAAAGCCCATTCTTGAAACCTGTTTTCCTAGCCTAAATTCCAGATATAATCTAGTATAAAATAGTTTATTTATAACTGTAGTATTTTTGTCTCTACCTTTGTCAAAGAAATCAGATATTGTGGAAAAATGTAAGAAATTCAGTACTCTCACCATCTTAATAGTATAATTGACAGTAGGTAACATCTATGTGTTTTGCAGATCAGTGCCTTAATAAATATAGCTTCTGTGTTATTGCCAGTAGCAAAAATTTATCATCTGGCTTCACAATCAACATATAGCACTTTCTTGAAGCAGTGCTCCTCATTTCTCTCTGTCAAATGAGGGAATTATGGTGGCCACCTGCCATTATATGATATCAGTATTTGTGAGAGCTTCAGATGTCACTTCTTTTTAACAAGCTCTTGAAAATCAGCAGAACTCCATCCCCCAATTTTATATCTTATGAAAGGAATAACAGCTCTAGTTAAAACACTGCTTTAACATGATTTGCAGCTTAAGTCTGCCATCCATTATTTCCCCTCCTCCCTTGTTGTATGAAGATAAGAATAGTATTAAGATAGTAATAGAGTTGTACTTTTATCTCACTGTATTTTGTTTATTTTTAAATACATAATTTGAGGAAGTTTTAGAGGAGGAGCTATGCCCTTATTGTAGAATGCATGTTTCACATCTCTAGTTAAAAGCATTGCAGGTAACAAGCGATATAAGAGAACTCTGTTTATGCCCATAAAGAATTTCTAGACTGGAGAGTATAGTATAAGCAACTAGACTAAATTAAGCAAAGACTAAGATCTGATAGGGTTATTCATTTGTTAGATAATGTGCTATATCAGTGGTTCTCAACCTTTTTAATGCTGTGACCCCCCAACCGGTCGTAAGTCGAGGACTACCCAACCGGTCGTAAGTCGAGGACTTTCCCTACCCGGGAGCGCCACGCATGCGTGGTGCCACCCCCTGCGCCGGCCGAGGTGTAGCTGGCAAGCGGCAGAGACGGCGCAGGCCAACCACCGGCTGGGCCACCAGCTGGCCCAGCCCAAGGGAGGTAAGGCACCCGCCGGGCCCCACACATGCCAGCAACCCTCCCTGCGCCCACTGGCCTCCCACCTCCCACCCCTGGCCCTCTTTTACTTACATTTTTAGTAGTTGCTCAGCAGGGAGGGGTGGAAACTTCCAGACAGCTCGCCTTCGCTGCAGACAAGTTGCAGCACTGTTTGCAGAATGGGACTTTGGCGGGCTCAGCAGGGCAGAGACAGCCTGGACAATTCCTATTGGCTTTTGAAAGCCAATAGAATTAGACTCTATTCAAGAGAGTCTATTCTATTGGCTTTCAAAAGCCAATAGGATAAAAGGGAGTAGCACAGCTAAGGAAAAGGGGAAAAAAATGGCGGACTGTGTTGTTTGGCGACCCCCGTGAAATGGTCGTTCGACCCCAAATGGGGTCCCGATCCACAGGTTGAAAACCACTGTGCTATATATATAAGGCTCTTTCAATATTGTTTAAAAATACTGTATAAAATGCTAGCTATTAATAACTCAGTTTCTAGTTGCATCATGGCATGGCTTTACTATTGTTCAATATTCTCTCACAAGATTTAACAACATTTACATTTAAAACTTGATTGTAATTCAATGTTGGAACTAAATCATTGAATAGAATTGGTTTATGTGCTGTTGTCCCTTTTTCTACTTGGTTGAACCTTAGCACTAACCTATTAGGTCAAGGGATCTCTCAAGGCTGTTAAATTCTATTATTCTATTAACTTCTGTAACATTTACAGGAGGTGATAAGCATCCTTCTGTTCTGCTTCCTGGACTGGTGGTTCTCTTTATTACATTCAGTGTAGCTGTGAGCATTATTGCAGTCAGTACATTTTCAAATTATAATGAAAGACATTACACAGATGTTAATTTCTAGGTATCAGCATTTCCTGAATTTAGCATGTGTTGGAAGCATGCAATTGAAAATGTATGTTTTGACAACACTGAGCATTGTGGGATTTCATTGCCAGTTGTCATGCAGATGCTTTTTGCCATTGGAAGCCTATACTTTGCCAAGAACAATAAGAGTTCAGATGTATTTTAGCTGATATTTGCAGCTTCCACATTAAATGTGTCTTTGATAATTTGAATGGCTATTGGTGATTTCCTCTTTACCTAGCTGTTTAGTTCTCCTAAATAGCCTTTTAGATATTTTATGCTGTCTGAAATACAATTTCTTCCTTATATGGGAGATCAGCTCTGAGATAGTAATAGTAGTAAAGTTGGAAGGGACCTTGGAGGTCATCTAGTCCAACCCCCTGCTCGGGCAGGAAACCCTACGCTATTTCGGACAAATGGCTGTCCAGTCTCTTCTTAAAAACTTCCAGTGTTGGAGCATTTACTGCTTCTGGAGGCAAGCTGTTCCACTGATTAATTGTTCTCACTGTCAGGAAGTTTCTCCTTAGTTCTAGGTTGCTTCTCTACTTGATGAGTTTCCACCCGTTGCTTCTTGTCCTGCCTTCAGGTGCTTTGGAAAATAGCTTAATTCCCTCTTCTTTATGGCAGCCCATGAGATATTGGAATACTGCTATCATGTCCCCCCTTGTCCTTCTCTTCGTTAAACTAGACATACCCAATTCTCGCAACCGTTCCTTATATGTTTTAGCCTCCAGTCCCCTAATCATCTTTGTTGCTCTTCTCTGTACTCTTTCTAGAGTCTCAACATCTTTTTACATCGTGGTGACCAAAACTGGATGCAGTATTCCAAGTGTGGCCTTACCAAGGCATTGAAGAGTGGTATTAATACTTCACGTGATCTTGATTCTATCCCTCTGTTAATCAGTTTTCATATTTTAAGGTCTCAAAATGAAGTAAAATGAAATGAAGAGGCATAGTCTAATCTCCTGTAGTTTAAATACTTAATTTTATTTCTGTGTTCATAGTTTGTCCTAAGCAAGCACCTGAAGAACTGTCTTCCATTCGGGACTCAAGCCTTACAAATGCACCAATGCAAAGCAAGCTAGTGTCTTCCTTCCAGCAGCATACCAAAAAGGCACTTAAACAGGTAAAGTAATATTTCTTGATTGAGTTTACATTTGCGTATCTAAACTAATTGAATTGAATCATTTATTTCCACTCAATACTTCACATTTTATACAAAGGAATTTTTTTTTTACAAAAGATGCAAAATTCCATCCTATTAGGCATCTTACTTAAAATCAGGAGTATTGGATGAAGCAGAAACACTACTGAAATGGAACCATATTAAAAAGCAGCTGGAAGATGCTGGAAGATGTATCTTGCAACTTCCTGGATTTGTGTCTTCTATGTTTTTAGGTCCCTGATGTGCTGGTCACATTTCCAAGGCATACTAAAATGCCTTTCACATTCCAGGAACTCAATATATATAAAATACTGAGGTGTTTTATATATGTGTGTATGTATGTCTCTCTCTCTCTCTCTCTCTCTCTCTCTCTCTCTCTCTCTCTCTGTGTGTGTGTGTGTGTGTGTATATGTGTGTGTATGTATGTATGTATGTATGTATGTATGTATGTATGTATGAATGTATCTATCTATCTATCTATCTATCTATCTATCTATCTATCTATCTATCTATCTATCTATCTATCTATCTATCTCATGGCAGTAATAAAAGTATCTGAACACCAAAGCTGTTTAATCTACAAAAAGTACTAAGCTTTCGTCAGCCAAATTACCAACATCATCAGAGTGTAAAAACGCCGGATCTGGAAATTAGTTTATATAACTGGCCACCTCTGCGCTCTAACCCTTGAATGGGTCATTGGTCCACTCATTAGAACTGGCCATGCTGTTCTTAAAGGGGCTGTGCTTGTCAATGCATCCGTAACTTCCACGATTGTTCCCCTGCCCCTAGTCATTGTTGGCATGTGTGCGAGCACCCAGGGGGCAGCTGTCAGGTTGCTCCTGCTCTTCTCCCCCCAGCCCACTTATCTTGGGCTGTCCCCGTGTCTTCATCGCCAAACTATCCTACGTGTTTCAGATGTCATTCTCACATTTGCTAGTCCTATTATTGGGGGCAGGGGAGCAACCTTGGAAGTTAATGGATGCATTGACAAGCACGGCCCCTTTAAGAACAGCATGACCGGTACTAATAAGTGGACCAATGACCCATTCAAGGGTTAGAGCGCAGAGGCGGCCAGTTATATAAACTAACTCCTGGATCCGGTGTTTTTACACTCTGACAATGTTGGTAGTTTGGCCGACGAAAACTAGTACTTTTTGTAGATTAAACAGCTTTGGTTTAAGATTTTTATCCTGGTGTTCGGATACTTTTATTACTGCCATGATATGTGTATACCCGGGATTCTTGTTTTTAACGTTATTAAAGACTATGTATGTATGTATGTATGTATGTATGTATGTATGTATGTATGTATGTATACACACAGAGAGAGAGAGATATAGATATATAAAACACCTCAGTGCCTTTGTTGGTTATGTGCAAGAATCTGAGCCAAATCTGTGATTCTTCAGGTACCACATTAATTTCAATCTTATAGTACTGATTAGGGAAAACTCATCCTAGCTTGTCTCCAATTTTGGAGTAGGGGCTAGGAAAAAATAATGCTTCTCTCTCCCATGGGTTAGTATGGGAAAAAATAAATATCTAATGGTACCTATGGTACCTTTACCATTATCGTAGAGGAAGGGATGTATTTTTATTAGAACAATGTGATTTGTAGGAGACTATATTTAGAAGGTGAACATGCCACATTTCAGTGCTAAAGGCTTTCAAGTTATACAGTCTTTTAACTGAACAATTGTTTGCTCAGACCACTTCTGTAGTATCCACAAATCTCACAGTAATTTTTTGCCACTGACATTTGAATAATCACAGCCTTCATTCTCTCCCATATCTATCTTGTCATTGCTATTATAGGACAAAATAACAGCACTCATAGTAACACTATGATTCATAATCTGCTCATTTTTGATATATGCCATTATTTGTCAGCAGTGCCAATTCCTTTCAAAAGAGTAGTTGAATATAAATTTGGCATCAGAAATGGAACTATCCAGAAATAATAGGAAGATATTTCAGTTAGGTAGGACACTCAGCCACTAACTTCAAGGTGGCAGTCTTTGGGGAAAGGAATTTTAAAAACTGATTTCATTGTGAAACAGCTGAAATACAATTCATTGGGAGTTTTAATACTATTATAGTTTAATACTATAACTTTAAGGAGAAAATTCGGTTTCTTATGTCACTGCATTAATTAGCACATTAATACATGATGGTCTGTGTCAGATGTAACAACTGTTCTGTCAATGGCCTGTATCTAAAATGTAGTTTTCACCCACTGTGCCTTTTATGTTTCTATCTGATGTATCTCTTTATAATTTCCCACTCCACTGCTTCATCATGGGAAATTTGTGTGTGTGTGTAAATATTATGTGCATCTGAAGAATGCAGTCTAAAAAAACTTCTTGTATACTAATTGTATTCAAGTTCCATAAGACAATGTGGTTTTGTATGTCTTTGGAAAGGAGATAGAAATGGAATAATTCAGTTTCACAGGGAAACTAAATATGGATAAATATTTCCATAGGAAATATTTAGCCTAACAGCAAGATGAAATAAGCAAATATCAACTGAGGGCAAAATCCTTAAATACCATTATAGTTGTCTTGATAGCATAAAATATTCAAGAGAGAAATGCAAATACTTATACACCCGTTTTATAATGCTAAGCAAGCAGTGAAACTTCCTCTTAAAAAGATTATTACTTGATGTATTTACCTTAAGGAGGGACTCTTCTATTCTCCCTTCATTTCCTTTTATACTCCATGTATTCATTACCACCAGATGCAGGCAGCTGGATTTGATTTAACTCCAAACTGTGGATCCTATCTGTTAGGTGAATGAACTTTAAGCAGCAATTTTTGTTCAGAAAATTGCTGTTGGGAGTCAGTTTTGCTACTGTATATCTACTCTTCAGACCTTCTATTGCTTTTATGTACTTATAATGTGCTTCTGTTCTACTACAAATAGCCTACAGTGCTTCTGAATACACAGAGATGTTAAGCAATTATATGTGACACATACCACCTGATATTAACTTACTGGATCTATTTTGCTGTACCGGGAGGTGAACCTTTAACACATTCTGGGAATAAACTGCTTACACTGTGGAGTGCCAAAAGCAGCATGGACTTGGTTGAGGATTATTTTTCTTTTGGCTCTTTTGCAGATTTCCACACTCTTCTCATGCATTGTTCAGTTTGTTATGCAGAAGAATGGAACTTTGAATATTTGCTCTGATTATATTTCAGTTTATTTTTTAAAATCAGTGCTAGATATAGGTGACCATAATGGAAGATTATGTGAGTCAGACTTTATTAGTTTTTTTGACCAGTTATTTTCACTGAGAATAATGTGTTTGAAACAATATCATTAGACTCAACCATTCCACATTTGTGACTTACCCCTGTTTCTATATAATCCAGCCATCACTGAGACAATGTGAATTATTTTGGCACAAGTATAGTTTAGATGACACTAGAAGTTGCTATCAGTCATTCCCGGGATCTGCTGTTGAACCAAAATTCAAGACCTTTCTTGTCCATGAAAGTCTCCTTGTTGCCATTAGTCCTTCAAGTAATCATCTTGATCTCCTTGATAAAAAGATAATATTCATATATCTAAAGGTTATTCTTCTAGCCCAACCAGAAGTTAGTATAATTGGAGCAATAAGGAAATGACTGACTTCAGCAGTTCCTGCACTAATTCCTGCAGGACCAGGAATTTGAGAATTATTTTTTTAGCTTTAGTTTCCAGCCATGGGGAACTGCTTTGGGCATACTGAATGGTTTGCTTCTGAATGTTGGCAACTCAGTTTTGGAAGTCTCCAGAGACCAAACAACAGGGCTTGGGGGCCATCTGTCTGATGCAAGTGGCCATCACTATCTTATTGAAAGATACTGAGTCAGACTATTGGTCCATCTAGTTCAGCGTTGTCTGCAATGAATGGCAGTGGCTACCCTGGACTTCAAGTCGGAATCCTTCTGAAGATACCATGTAGGTCTTCTCTTGAGGTACAGCTATGCAGATAAGGCTGAGACACAATTAAAGAGTTGTGAGCTGGACTTCAGCCTGACTGATGTAGACAGTGATGAGGGAAGCACTGCTCAGGTAAGTATATCTGAGTTATTCAACATTTTTATTCTTTTTTCATCGTAGCTATTCTCCTTGATAAAATTATTTCCAGCATGACTCAGTGAGTTTTGACAAAAAGGTTCATTGTTATATATTGTCATTTCTCATAACATTTTTAGTTTATTTCTTCAGCAGTACCAAAAAGTGTTGAAGGTATTGGGTCAATTTCATCAATATTGAAGGAAAAATAGTTTTGCTTTTCATAGAGACTTTGCCACTGGAACATATCCTGTGATTTCAAAAAATACATTAAAAGTGTATTACATATTAATTTGGAGGTGTCAAAAGCTAGTTCATATAAACCTGTTAGCCAGGAAAGAAGGGCCCCAATGGATGCCCATGCATTCAGCTGAGCATTGGAGATGGACCAGGTTGAATGTAGGCCTTTTTCACAAACTCATTATACCATGATGAAAATGTGGGAGAGAACATTATACTAGCAAGTATACTCACAATCTGTTCTGTAAATAAATTCATGATTTTTGGTAATTTTCCTGATCCTATTCTTGAAATTCTACATTTGATTAAACTGGGGCCGGCCAAAGGCAGCTTGGCAATACCAGATAACAAAACTCAGAATAAGACTTTAAGTGAAAAGATTGGGTTGTTGGACAGAATTCTAATTTGCCTATTCCAAACTTTGTGGGAAATCTGTGTGCCAGAGTAGCCTAAGATGGTTTGTCACTTGGCAACATGGTTCTTCATAACAAAATGTAAGGAATACTGTGCATGAGCTTTCAGATCCTGCTCAAGTTACTCCATAGTTGCAAATACATAATTACTTATACTGCTGCCAAGAATGGCACCATTTAACAGCATATCACAAGCAGGAGGTCTAGTTTTTTTGTTCACCAGATTACAGCATT